GGCACTGTGATAGAGAGACTGTGAAATACTTACCCTGGGGAAATTAAAGCTCTGACTGTACAGGAACCTGAACAATGTGACCTGTCTTTGCAGTTAGCCTGTGTTTAGCAGTAGTTTGGACTTAATAGCCTTTTGTGGTCATTATGTGCATTATCCTTCTTTAAAAAGAAGTTGTGTTCCTGCTTTGTCTGGGGTTGTTTTTCTGCTCTGTGCTATATATGTCACTACTGGTTATGTGCTGTTTCATCTTGCCAGCCATATTACTCTCTATATCTGCTCTCTCAAATATGTCACTTCATACTAAATGTTTAATTTTTTACGCAACACTTTCTTGACCTAATTTAGAAGATGATGCACACTGTACTTGCCCCCTCTATGATCAGTTATTTTGAAGTGTCTTGCTATGCCATCAGTTTGAATGTACACTGTGTCAAGGACTGACAAGACTGTACATTCCCATACATCCCACCAGCAGTTTGCTAACCACAAATGTTTGCAATTTTGCACAGTTCCCAAACATCCACATTCTCTATAGATTCATGTACTCCAATAGTATAAACCATTCTGACAGAAAGCATGGGGAACATGTTGTTCAAGAGATACAGTAGGGCTATATTCCTGCTCCAGGCAGGCTTTTGAACAATGCAATTAAAATGAGCATTTAAATATGACCATAAAAGAGCAAAAAACTCATCCAAAGAAATTGCCTAAAAAATTTCCTTTGCTACAGTCACCCTGAAAAACTGGCAGGGAGCCTTTTAACCACAACTACTGAACTCTAAATTTTTCTAGTTGATGCCTTTCTCCCCTGAATTTCGTAGCATTTGCTAGTGAAGCAAATGCCCACTGTGAGGACACTTAGTACAGTCACTGCTAGGTTTGAGGCCATGGTTTAGGGCAGAATAACACCTATGACAAATGTGCAGGGATCAACATCATCCTTACATGAGCAGCAGTCAAGGCACACTGAGGGTGAAGTAGGGTCTTGCTGGATTTCCCCTCTGAATCACTGCTATCATGCTCAGAGGACACAGCAATTTGATGGGAATATGATGAGAGAAAAAGCTGTTCCTCCTTGGTTTTTTTCCCAAGATGATGCTCTTCATTTTCCTGCTCATTTTTCCAATGGTGATGGACTCTCAAGTATATTAAATAGGCCTATGTTTCTGTAGTGCGAACCAACAGCCAGTAATAAAATGACAATTAATTTTCTTTATGAGCCAAAGCCTGTTTCTTATTTGTTCAAGTGCAAAGACAGGAGATTCTGACTCTTCTTACTGAGAATTTTTTCCACAACTACTTCTTAAGGTTATGACAGCCTTGTAACACTGACTTACTGTTCCACAGATAATCACCACATACTGGAGCACCACTTGTGTAATCATCTAATCATGAAAAAGACAAAATTAATGCAGAAGTTTCCTCAAGAGACTTTTAAAATGTAAAGTTGATAGTCTCCATGGAAATGTAGCCCAATACAAGTTTTCCCTCTGAGCTTCCTACTCTAGTGACACTTTTAATTATGTGCTAATTATGCACATTTAGCCTTCTATTACATAGTAGCTGGCAAATGCTAATTACTATTTGCTCACTAGAGAGCTCAGGTTACTATGGACAGTCTTGAAACTTCTTAAGTTGCATGAAATATTTGCGTCCTGGATTTCATGTTGACAACAAACCTGCAACAGTGACCTCTTCCTCCTCTCTGAATATTAAGAGAGATTGAATTAAAATGCAAACTACAACCAGAGCTATTTGAACTAAGAAAAACAAAAAAAGTTATACTGTTTAAAATATTAATAGTTTTGATATGTAGTTGCTGCTGCAGGATATCCTTTCTCAAGAAAGTACTTTCTGCAGCTCATGTTGCAGGTTCCAGAGAAGAGCTATAACCCTAGAGCCACACTAGTTTTTAGTTAAAAAATAATTTTTTTTTGTTTACATCCAGAAAATGCTAAAGTATCTGTATGTACCTCAGCTATAGTCTCCCCTGAAGAGTGCTTCATTTACTCTTTTTAAGGTTACTGCATAATTTTATGGTTTGAAGAGATTAGACGACAAACTAAATTGCAGCCTGGAAACAAACCTTAGCTTATTGACAGGAACTTAAGAAAAAAACTAAGTTTATTAAAAAGATGACTAGACTACAGTTTTTATGTATGTGAATAGGAAAATAACAGGGTTTGGCTGAGATTAATTCCTTTAGAAAAACAACCACCACAACTGAAAAAACCAACCAAACAAAAATCCATCAAAACAAAATGAACAAAAACAACCCCCTCAACAAAAAGCAACCAAACAGAAAAACACAACATGAAAAAGACCTAAATATACAAACAAAAAAGCTGAAACAGACGTTCATCACATGCTGTGAGCTGGAATGCCCTGTGGAGATGTGTGTCTCCTTCAGTGGTACGGGGAAATCAGGTGCCAAATGAATTGCCTTAAATTATGATGGGTGAATCTGAGGCCTCATTATTTGACTGGGCTAAGGCACTACAGCAATTAAAACCTGAAAGTTGAACACAGAAAATGTGAAAGTGGAACAGGAAACTGCTAGTTTGGAAACACTAGAGATCAGTGTGCAAAATGCATCAATTTGGATGCACGAGATTTTGGAAGGCATGGCTTTTCTGAACAGCACAGTCTAGACTGACTACAACCTATTTAACCAATGGTGTCAAGATATTGATCTTCATCCATGCTCATGAACTCTTGTTTATGGAAGTGGCTCCCTTGACTTGATCTGTACTGCTTGTGGATGAAGTGTTTGTTCAGCACCAGCATAACCCAGCCATATGAGTCTATGCTGAAAATATTAATGTTGCTTTCAGAAGTGATAGTTATCGTAAACACCATAATTCTCAGGGTTAATGGCTTCTTCAAACAAGTGCTTTGAGATGCTGAGTTATATAAATGTCTTCCTAAGTAAACAACCATGTCAGAGGTTGAGGGCATTAGAGGTTCTTCCTCTTCCCACTGAGTGTTTTTTGGAGAGGAGCTGGTCACTAAAATTTTTGAATCGCCTTTACTACAGAAAGTAGCTCTTGCCCTTCTCAAGTTGTGCCTCTTTCTTTCAGCTCTATTAAAAGACAGGTTAATGACAAAATCCACTTTGGCATGTCAAGGTCTCTGCGTCAGCTGTGCATTTTTTCTTATTATCCTTTATCCTCAGGATACTGTGAGTAGATCCTGACCACTTGCTACTTTGGAAGGCCAGAAAGAAAAGGTACGAATATCTCCTCTGAGCATGGCACAGCACTCCTGAGTCTCCTGCTCCTCCTCAGCATTGCAGCATTTATTTCTAAGGAGGCAATGTATGAGGTTTTATATCAGTTTCTCATTTCTTGATGGTAAAATACTGGGAAAATTAACTGGTGGAAATTTTCTTTCAATATTTAAACGTGAATCTTGCTTACAGAACTTAGTCTGACTTGTCTGTAAGAAGTATCAGTCTAGACAACCTCACAGATTGAATAATTTCTTTGCAATAATATCAGATTTTGGCTTTTTTAAAATATATTAAAAATATTTACCCAGCCAAGGAAAACACACCTCACAGAGAAGGCTGGTGGTGAGCACTGCTGGGCTATCATGGGGAAAATCCCAAAAAGCAGTTCACCTGTGGAAGGCAGGACCTTCTGACAGGTGCCTGACAAATGAGCATACACAGGCTTTTCCATCCTGCACGCTTGTTTTTATAAATGAAAAGCAGATGTACACCTGCCTTGTGCTTCCCACAGAGCTCTTCCAAGGTACATGCAGAGGAAAAGCCACTGAATTGTTGTTCTCCAGAATAACCGGCACAACCCACTAGTGTATTACAAATTCAACACTGTGTAGTAAATGATATATGATCAATGGGGCCAAAAGCCTTGACAGTGATGTTGCTCTAAAGAAACCCACATGTTTGGAAAAAATGCAAGATACACAGTACCTTAATGAGAAGCTCTGGGAGAAGCAATGGTATCAAAATCCCACCAAAGTTTCAGAAATTTTTGTGCAGGTACCTGCATACCTTTGTGCAGGTATGTGATGACAATTTTAATGAATATACCAAACCTAAATTCTTGCAGTCAAGATTGCTGAGTCTTTCCTTCTATAATTTTATTTTAGACAAATATTGCCCTGACCTGGTCCAACTTGTGTTGATTCTAAAACTAAGAAAAAGTGGAGAGACCACAGCACACTGAGAGAAATTACCATCTAGCAGGGTAGACAGGCAAAGTTAGGGCGCACCTAGGATAATACTAGGATCACAGGAAGGAACACTTTTAAGGATGACATGGCCCACACAAAGCAGGCTTTCAATAATCCCACCCCAAATTTTTTCATTGTAAACTGCAAGGATGGAGAGGTAAGTTTTTTTTTTTTTCTATTATAAAAATGCTACAGGATTTTCCTATTCTTTCTGGCATAGGATATTTGGTTTGAATTGAGTGACAAATTCTTGCACTAAAAAAATATTCTGTGTGCATATTTTAATGAAAATACTCACTTGAAAATGCTGATCAGCACTATTTGCAATAGGTGCATCTGTCATTTAGAAAGAAGCATACTGTAGGTGACTAAGGTGAGTAATAACACTACAGAAATTAAATTATGCCTCATTTCCCTAAATGGAAAATATTTCTTGTAGTAAAGGCATTCTTTTTAAAAGTAGATTAGCACATTAAAAAATAGACACAAGAACCAGGACAATTTCTGGTCTGGAGAGAAAAAGAATATATATATTTCAGGGCACTATATAATCACAGGAAGGAATCCTTAATATCTTTTGTTTCTTCTCACTGTAATCTATCACTCTGGATTTTCAAACTCTACTGCTTGTCCAAACTGTCAACTACTTTTGCTAAGCACTGGAGAAGCTGCACCATCTGCCTGCTTTGGTAGGTTAATAATTCATGACAGAACTCTGCTGCATCCTGCCTCAGGAACGCCTGGCAAAACCACAGTGCTCAAAATGCTTTTCACTGTATTTTCTTTAGTAATACATTTACCCAGGACCCACGGTAAAATCATCCACTCGACGATGGTTGGAGGGGGTCCCTGCATGCTGAGGTCTGACCTGTCGATGTGCTGAGAGGCAAGCAGCAGCAGGAACAGAAAAGTCAAGTACGATGCTGTATGGCAGATAAATTTGATAAATGGCTTTCTGATGAACAGCCCCAATGGGCTTTTGGGAGCTATCAGGTAGCACACAGAGAAGACTGGGAAAAGGAGTCCTATCACAACACATGTCAACATCTTCACTGCCCAGTGTCGCCTCCGCCATCCAGGGAACTCGTCGTACCAGCGGGATGCGAGCAGCTGCTGGCAGTTGGGCTGAGCAACAAACTACAGAGAGAAGAAAGGAAGAGAGTTAGTTTCTTGCTATCTCTGTGAAGATTTTTCATTCTATGTATCTTTAGTAGATAGAGATTAAAAACATTAAAATAAATCCGCGGCCTGTGCAATCTCACTCATGTGAATTGTACCAGTAAGACAGGGCTGGGTCAGCCTGCCTTTCCTTCAATGCCAAAAGTATAGTTAGTGCACAGAAACAAACACTTACTTTTCCCAATAAAGCTTCACTTCTGCATTGGTTGGGTACACAAGGAGACAACAGATAGCTAAACACATGGACTTCAAAACCTGACTTGAAACTGAAAAGCAAGTTTACAGATACTTCTTATTTATTCAGCAACATTTGTGGAGAATTCACAGAACATGAGGTAGAAACCAAGGAGCACAACTGAGGTCTGCAAACAATGAAACTGAATTCCACAGCCATGAACAAACTGTTCTCATTATGTTCCCTGCTAATTCTCTAAAAATCAGGTTTACATGCTTTAATACTGACAAAACTTACAGATGCATTACAAAATGTTTACACAATGTGAACTAAGCACTAGCATTCCCCAGTGTGTCACTAACCCTTATCAGGATACACTCCTATCCTGTGTGATACTTTCTGTTACCATTATGAGATTTTATATGATTTTTTGGAATATGGTCCTTAAAACTGAATTTCACCAAAACACCCCAAAACAAGTAAATATTTAGTATTTTTCAGATACCTTTTCAAAGAAGTATATATCAAGGTTTTTTTGTCATACTTTTCTTTGATCACTGGTCCCTACTTCCCCATTGTTTTCTTTTATAAGGGTGACAGAGGAGCAGCAGACAAGAGTTGATATAAAAGGCATAGAATAGAAGCAAGATATGTATCAAAGAGGGCCAGAGCTGCACTAAAAAAAAAAAAAAAAAGGAAAGAAAATAAGCATTTTCCTCCTGTTACTCTGGTGGTTTGATGCTGGCTGGATGCCTGGTGCCCAGAAAACCTGCCCTATCACTCCACTCCTCAGCTGGAGAGGGGAAAGAGAGAAGATGAAAGGAAAGGTTTGCAGGGAGAGACCATTTACCAATTACCATCATGGGCAAAATAGACTCAAATTGGAGCAATGAATTTATTACCCATCAAACCAAAGTAGAAAAATCAGAAATAAAATCAAATATTAAAACCAGCTTTCTTTCCCCCTTTTTTTTTCCTAGGCTCATTTTCACTCCTGAATTCTCTGTCTCTACCCCCACATGGTGCAGGGAGATGGGTAGGGGGCTGTGGACAGTTCCTCACATTGTTTCTGCCACTCCTTTCTCCTCAGGGGGAGGACTTCTCGCACTCTTGCCCTACTCCACTGTGGGGCTCATCCCACGTGAGACGTTCTCCACAACTTTTGACAACATGACTCCTTCCCATGGGCTTCAGTTCTTCATGAGCTGCTGCAGCTTGGATCCCTTCCATGGGGTGCAGTTCCTCAGAAGCAGACTGCTCCATGGGTTCTCCATGGAGTCATAAGTCCTGCCAGCAAACCTGCTCCAGCTTGGACTCCCCCCCTCTCCACAGGACCACGTCTTGCCAGGAGCTTGGTCCAGTGCAGGATTCCCAGTGGGTCACAGCGTCCTTCATGCATCCACATGTTCCCGTGTGGAGTAACCCAGGGGTGCAGGTGGATCTCTGCTCCACCATGGGCCTCCATGGACAGACTGCCATACCATGGTCTTCCTCACCAGCTGCAGAGGAGTCTCTGCTCTGGTGCCTGGAACACCTCCTCCCCTTCCTTCTCCGCTGACCTGGGTGCAGAGTTGTGTTGCTCACACAGTCTCTTGTACCATGTCTGAAATTCTTCCTGTGCACTAACTTCTTTCCTCTCCTTAGATCTGCTATCCCAGAGACACTACCATCACCAGTGATGAGCTCAACTTTGTCCAGAAGCATGTTCATCTTGGAGTATCTGGTATTGAACATGGGAGAAAGGGGGGAATCTTCTGGCAGCATCTCACTTAAGCAGCCCAGCTATCAAAATCTTGTCATACAAACCCAATACACTCACACACATATGAGTGTATTAAATACATACTGTGGATTAAATCATTAGCTGAATACTTTGTAAAGCTATGCAGAAACTTTTTTCTCTTATTACAAAATTGTATTTTTTCACTAAATATTTTCAGATTTGAACTCAAATCAAATGCACCTATTTTAGGAACTTACATCATCTTGGTAATACTTATAACCACAGGAACCAAGTTCCTTTGGGGATGAAAAACAGGTAACTCCTCAAACTGTTTGTAAAATCACTGGGATTACTACTAGTAAAAAATGCTCTTTAGATTGGAAAGAGATGAGAGTCAGCATGCATTTTTCTATATATGTCTGGATCTTGTCAGAAATCATTACCTCAGCCATATTCAAACCTGGTGTACATTAATGAAATGTCAGAGTCTTTAGTAGAGACAAATTTGCCTACCAGACACCAGCAGTGAAGCTGCCTCTGTCTGTTGTGAAAGATAAGAAAATTTACTCCTACTGTAAGGATCTTGAAATAGCCCTAAAGAAGGGCAACAGAATATACTCCTCCTTTAGACAAATGCATTCTCAAGGTTTCAGGTTGTTTCTTTCAAGGTACAAATGTCTAGAATAATAGTGTATGTGGTCAGAGCAGATGATTTCAAAGTTATGCTTTTGCCAAGTTTATTTTCCCTAAAACATTTTTTAAACTTAATTAGCTTAAGTAGATACAGATAGGTGTTTTGCTTGACTAGTGAAAAAGTGTGAGTCATTACTTAAAAAATGTTTTTCTCTTTTTGCCCCATAGAGTGCCAGGTCCATGTTTGCTTACTCCTCTTCATAATGTCTTTCCATTACCAAAGAATGGGAAGACACTCTGAAAGAAATTACAAATCCCCTCACCTGAAGTAATCAGTGCCTAAGTCTTGCCTGTGCCCCCTTTCTAAACACCCTTGGCCACTCTCACAGTGTTGGGAGCTATGTGAAGGAACAGCTGCCAGTGGCTACCAAAGCCTGGTGACAGATATAGGGGACCTACTTCTTGCCAAGCACGTCTAAAAAGGAATTAATTTTCCTGTTTCAATGTAGAGAAAATTAAGTAAAAGGCAGGAGTTTTTCCAATGTCCAAACACTGGGCTGCCCTGGGACTGGGCAGACCAGAACTGATGCAGAGTTACCTCATGCCATGAGGAGATCCTTGCTGAATGCACCATCTGGAGAATGCTTCACAATGGGGTGGGCACGGCTTTGCTTAGTTCTAATCTTTAAACGGATTAATATGCAAGTGATAATTGCATATTAACATACTAATTACATATTAATGTCAGAATTAATAGAGAAAGCATTTCTGAGCAGGCTTTAAAAAATGCCTTGTCCTCTAATACCCATATTAGATTTTATGGTGTTGGGACTGCGTGGTTAAGGTACAATGTGTCAAGGATGGTGTTCTGAGGCACAGGAATTTTTTTAGTAAGTGCAGAAAATTTTCAAATCCCAGACACTGAAGAGATGATTTTTTAAGTAATAATTTCATAAGAAATCAGCAATAACTGTTCTTGAAAATATGACAAGAGAATTCTAGCACCGGTTGGCTCCTCTAAATACAGAAGAAAACTTGCACAGACCATGCATTTGGTACGGCTGGAGTCAGAGGAAGCAGACTTGGTAATGTGCTTTCAATTACTTTTTTGACACAAAATACATAAGAAACAACTAACGGTATGGTATGGAGCAAGCACAAAAAAATACTATGTCTGCATTTAAAGAACCATATTGCATTTGGAAGCAGTTCTAGTGCCACAGGCAAAGGTTTATAACAGAAAACACAACACAGTTTGTTTATCCACAGATGATATAATGCATTTCTGAAAGGTCTAAATATTCATGCTGGTATGTTTTAACAACACATTGGCAAGGTTGGTCAGCAATGTCCTGAAACAACAAAAATATCTGGCTCTTCACTGAAGACTTTTCTTTTTTGTTCTGAGCTTCATTTGCCATATAATATTAACTATGAACCATTCCAAAGTATTTTTTTGGATATTTGGAAAATTATCCTAAGTCTCTTGCTGAAGTTTCTTTTAAAGTTTAATTTATCAATTAACTGTATGACATAATTAAAAATGTCCAAACTAATTCTCACAGATTTCGTTTTTGTGGTCAAGAGATTGTCTTCATATGCTATGAAATACGGCCAGTAGTTATACCTACATTTATTACATTAGCTAAAAAAATGAAGGAAGGGTTTTAACAGGGAAAAGTTATACTCTGATGAAAGAGAAGTGTGCTCAGTGGTGAGCCCTACAGTCTTGTTCTTCAGCTGCACAGGAAAGGTGAGTTTGTCCCATCTGGTCCTTGTGGGGGACCAGGGGAAAGGAGAGGAAGGCGCTGTTTTCACGCTTCATAAGTAAATACTTGAGAGCATACAGGGATTGCAGGCAGGGAAACCCTCCTGGGACTCACAGTGGAAATGCTGCCCATGTAGCCTGTCTCAGAGACATTACTCACGGGTAACAGTTAAATAGATCAAACAATTTAATCTGTGATGAATATATTTTATTACCGATTCCAAATTCTTATTATACTCCTAATTTATTCACTGAAAAGCCCTTCGCTACATCAAAAAAATAAGGAAAAGGTCTTAATGACAAAATTCTCTGGTCAATTCACATTTATACTATAACTATTAGAAACTTTTCTATTAGAAAGGACGAGTAAAAGGGGATGGAAGAAAGACATGCTCCAGCATAGAACAATTCCTGTATAAATGGATGGCATTACATATAAGATGATCACATACTAATGCTAAATAGACATGGAAGTCCCTTGATGAACTTGGAGATAAAAAAATTAAAAACTATTTTGCACAAGTATTTTGTGACTAGCAGAAATAGAAATACTCTGTGACATTAATTTGCCAGTTCTGCATCGCCTATGCCAAAATATTTTCACTGTAGTATAATTTTCTTCCTTAATTGGAGAGATTGGAGGTATTCTTTTACTATTC